GCTGTGCCCTTCACTCGCCCCATTCACCCACCTGCTGTGCCCTTCACTCGCCCCATTCACCCACCTGCTGTGCCCTTCACTCGCCCCATTCACCCACCTGCTGTGCCCTTCACTCGCCCCATTCACCCACCTGCTGTGCCCTTCACTCGCCCCATTCACCCACCTGCTGTGCCCTTCAATCGCCCCATTCACCCACCCGCTGTGCCCTTCAATCGCCCCATTCACCCACCTGCTGTGCCCTTCACTCGCCCCATTCACCCACCTGCTGTGCCCTTCACTCGCCCCATTCACCCACCTGCTGTGCCCTTCACTCGCCCCATTCACCCACCTGCTGTGCCCTTCACTCGCCCCATTCACCCACCCGCTGTGCCCTTCAATCGCCCCATTCACCCACCTGCTGTGCCCTTCAATCGCCCCATTCACCCACCCGCTATGCCCTTCAATCGCCCCATTCACCCACCCGCTGTGCCCTTCAATCGCCCCATTCACCCACCCGCTGTGCCCTTCAATCGCCCCATTCACCCACCTGCTGTGCCCTTTAATCGCCCCATTCACCCACCCGCTATGCCCTTCAATCGCCCCATTCACCCACCCGCTATGCCCTTCAATCGCCCCATTCACCCACCCGCTGTGCCCTTCAATCGCCCCATTCACCCACCTGCTGTGCCCTTCAATCGCCCCATTCACCCACCCGCTATGCCCTTCAATCGCCCCATTCACCCACCCGCTATGCCCTTCAATCGCCCCATTCACCCACCCGCTGTGCCCTTCAATCGCCCCATTCACCCACCTCCTGGCTGCTCTCTCTCGCCCCGTTGACCACGGATTGCCCTCACGCCCCTCACGGCTGCTGCCCCCAGGGCCCACCAAGTCGAAGCTGACGCTGCGGCTGCAGGAGCACTTTGTGCGCCCCATCGCCCTGGCGGAGGTGGAGGCCGCCACCAACGCCTTTGCGGACGACCGACTGCTGGGCGTGGGCGGGTACGGGTCCGTGTACCGCGGGCACGGGCCCAACGGCGAGCAGTGGGCCGTCAAGCGCGCGCAGGTCACCACCGTGCAGTCCATGCACGTGTTCCAGAACGAGGTGCGTGCATCCATGCACGTGTTCCAGAACGAGGTGCGTGCATCCATGCACGTGTTCCAGAACGAGGTGCGTGCATCCATGCACGTGTTCCAGAACGAGGTGCGTGCATCCATGCACGTGTTCCAGAACGAGGTGCGTGCATCCATGCACGTGGGCGTATGAGGCTTAAGTGTGGATGAGGTGTGAGGGAGGATGAGGCATGTGCGGGTTTCTGCAATGAGTGCATGTGGGCGTGACCTATCACCCACGAGCCACCGCAACCCCATGCGCCTCAATGCCTTGCCTTGCCCCTCCACCCCCTGGCAGGTGGGCGTGATCTCGGGCATGCGCCATCGCAATCCAATCTGCCTGCACACTTGGCCCTCAACAAGACTCAAATGCGGCCCAACCCCCCCCCCCCTCCCCGCCGTCCCCCCCGCCATGCATGCGGTGGCAGGTGGACGTGATCTCGGCGATGAGCCACCGCAACCTGATAGCCTTACTGGGGTACTGCGAGGACAAGGGCGAGCAGATCCTCGTCTACGAGTTCGCCGCCAACGGCACGCTCAGCGCACTGCTCAGACCGCCTGCAGGTAACGTGTGCGTGCATGCATGGTTGCGTGCATGCATGGTTGCGTGCATACATGGGTGCCTGCATGTATGGGTGCGTGCATGCATGGTTGTGTGCATACATGCATGTGTGCATACATGCATGTGTGTATGCATGCATGTGTGCATACATGCATGTGTGCATACATGCATGTGTGTATGCATGCTTGTGCAAGCCCAACCCCCCTTGACGCTGCCCCAGTGCGTGGAGATCGCTCTGGGAGCGGCGCAGAGGCTGTTCTACCGGCACTCCTGTCACACTCTTTCAATTCAACCCCTCCTCTGTTCCCTCCTCCCCTTCTCGCCCCGCCAGACAAGCCCACCCCGCCCTTGACGCTGCAGCAGCGCGTGGAGATCGCTCTGGGCGCGGCGCAGGGGCTGTTCTACCTGCACTCGTTCGCGCGCCCGCCTGTCATCCACCGCGACGTCAAGTCGGGCAACATCCTGCTGGACGCCGACATGCAGGTGCGTGGGTGGGGTGGGTGTGAGGTGAGGTGCAGGGGGCGCGGGTGGGGTGGGTGTGAAGTGACGCGCAGGGGGGTGCCACTAGAAGGGGCGCGGTGGGAGTGCAGCAGGGAAGGTGGGAGTGCAGCAGGGAAGGTGGGAGTGCAGCAGGGAAGGTGCGATTGTGTTGCGGATGGTTGTGGTCTATCGTGCTGCGCACAAGGGAGGTTGCACGAGGAAGGTTGCACGAGGAAGGCTGTACCCCTCCGAACGGCGCCATGCTTATTCCGACCTGCCCCCCCCGTGCGTGCAGGCGAAGGTGGCGGACTTCGGGCTGCTCAAGGCGTCCAAGGGCGAGGGCGTGGCGCACAGCACGCAGGTGGCGGGCACACCGGGGTACCTGGACCCCGAGTACTACTCCGCCTTCAAGGTCACCGCCAAGAGCGACGTCTACAGGTGCGCCGGTGCTGACAGATGGGTGCTGACAGATGGGTGCTGACAGATGGGTGCTGACAGATGGGTGCTGACAGCTGGGTGCTGATAGATGGGTGCTGACGTGGCCTGAGACACTCCCACACCCCATGCTCTCACACCACTCTTCCACACCCCATGCTCTCACACCACTCTTCCACACCCCATGCTCTCACACCACGCTTCGACATCCCATGCTCTCAGGGCGCTTCCAAAGTGCCACTTGAGGATTCCGGCTTAGGCTGGGTATCGTTTTGCATAACTGAAACGGCACACTCGCGTTCAGTCCCAGTAACGAAACCCAGACTCTGAAAATTCGGGCATTTTGTCAGAAGTGCACAACTTTCGTGTGCTGTGGTGTACAAACTTGCAAATTCGCCTGGGGATGTGTGCTTTTCCGAAATGGTGAACGAGGCATGTTCGAATCCAGTCCCAGAATTTTGGTCTCGTCACAATGGACATCCGCTCACCGTTTCATTTCAGGTGTATGAATTGGCCGTGTATAAAGCATTTTTGTTATGGGATTCGTTACTCATAAAGGAACCCTAGGTTACTTTGAAGGCGCCCTCACAGCACTCTTCCACGACCCATGCTGTCCTCTCACACGCCTCGCGTCCCCCCCTTCCCCCCGTCAGCTTCGGCGTGGTGCTGCTGGAGATCATCACGGGGCTGCCGCCCATCTTTGAGAGCCTCGACTCCACCGAGTGCACGGACGGCGAGAGGCAGATGACCAGCCTCGCGCGCTGGGTGAGAAGAGAACGAGGGAGGGAAGGAGGAGGAGTTGGGGCTTTTGTGTTAGAATGAGGGTTGCTATGGCCACAACAGGGGTAGACGAGGCAAGGGAGGATGGGTGAGGGAGGAACTTGTCACTTGCACCCTGTTGATGCTGCCAATGTCATGGGCAGTTGTCAGTGCATGTTGTTGAGTGACCCGCTGGGGTTGCCCTTGAGATCCTCGGGGAAGGGCCACAGGTGCAGAGCCTGGGGGGCTATGGGCGCACTTACCCGCTATTCAACAAGCCCTTTTAACCCAGTGGTCAGTGACTGTGTTTCTGACATGGTATCAGAGCCAAAGGTCTTGGGTTCAACTCCCAGTGCTAGCGCTGCAAAGGCGCTTGTGTCTTCCACCTATCCCAGCGGGGGGGGGGGTGTTGAGTGACCCGCTGGGGTCGCCCTTGAGATCCTCGGGGAAGGGCCACAGGTGCAGAGCCTGGGGGGCTATGGGCGCACTTACCCGCTATTCAACAAGCCATTTTAACCCAGTGGTTAGTGACTGGGTTTCTGACACATGTGTGCCCATCGCCACTCGTTGCTCCATGCTCCCTTCCCATGCTGCCCATGCCCCTCCTTCCACCTCCCTGTCAACCTCTGCTCTCCCCCTCCCTCTCCCCTCGCTTGCTTGCACACACACCCCGGTCCACCAACAAGCGGACCCGCCTGCCTGCCTGCCTGCCTGCCTGACTTTCAACCTCCTCTCAACCAACTCCACACCTCCGTCTCCCCCTTCCCCTGCCCCTTAACCGCCCTACTCCTCTGCCCCCATGCCACTCTGCCCCCCTCCCCCCCCTGCCATTATGCTCCGCTGCCCCACTGCCCCCCCTGCGCAGTGTGCGCCGTACGTGCAGACGGGCAACGTGGCCAAGATAGTGGACCCGCGACTAGGCGCGGACTACCCAGTGGACGTGGTGAAGGGGCTGGCGGACGTGGCCATGGCGTGCGTGCAGCGCCACAGCAAGAACCGCCCCGACACCAGCGAGGTAGTGCGGCGCCTGGGGGACATTCTCTCGAGGATGATGGGTGATGAGAATGTGGCGGCGCTGGGGCATCTGCGGTCGCAGAGCTCGAATGTGGGAGCCATTGCCATTCCGGAGGATGGGGAGGTAGACCCGAATATTGCGCTTGTGCAGGGCATGGAGGGGCCTTACGACGAAAGCACTGCAGCTATGTCGCAGGTTATTCCTCGTTGAATAGCATCGTGTTTGGGAGCGAATAGCATGTTCAACTTCTTCAAAGCAGCAACTTGGGCTGCATTGTTGTATTATTCTTGTCTAATAATTGCTGACGAGAAATGTTCTCGTATTATGTCAGATGCCCATTCGTCTCAAATGTTGCTACCACTTCGAATGTCATTGTTGGAAATTTACTTAATCGAGTAACCTCGTGAAAAGATTGCGCTTTCCCTCCTCACTGACAGCGCCTCGTTGCCTGCTCTGCCATGTCTGACGAGAAGCCTCCAACAGTTGGGCTCGGCCCGCCACCAAATCTGGGCTGCTGATAGCCTGCTATTGCGGTGGAGCATGGTACAGCATGGTATTCCGGTGGCACGCTATGGTGCCATTGTCACACGGCGGGTGTGTGACCCTCTCCAAGTCAACCCTCACGACACCAGCAGACAGGTCGGGCCACGGGATGAAACGAGCTCTGGTTTGGTTTGGACGTGGCTGACAAGCATTAGCGAGTGAGCACCACCCTGCATACGCGCTGCTGGAGGCAGTGAGGCAAGGAGCACGAGGTGAGCGCAGAGGTGTTGCGAGATGTCCGACGAGTAGCGCCTCTCCTTACTCATCGCGTTCGCTGATTTGATCAGTTATTGCGTGGCTCATCTAGGTAGTGCGTAGCAGTTCGTTAGTTCAGCTAGTTTATTTGGCGGATTCGCTCAGTCGCCTCGTCACAGCGTCATTGTCCTTCATTTGCGCGATCTGCGCGCGGCAGCGGGAAATGAAGCACCCCTGATCGCGACGCCCAATGCAGTCGCTATTCCCTAGTCCGTTACTGGCATATCCGCTACTCGTTACCCCGTAGCCGTGCGCAGAACGAACCTGCTGTTTTTTCCGCCACCAGCAGAACCGGGACACCGATTACTGCCCGGGGGATGCGGCGCGTTTCGCGGAGATCGCGGGCCAGGCTTCCGGTGCGCCTGGTGCTGGCGGCGGGACTGTTGGCGGCGGCGACGGTCGGCTGCCTCGCGCTGCGGCCGGTGACGGCGGGCGCGCTCAGCGGCGCGTGGGCGGCGGCGAACAGCTCGGGCAACGACGACGCGGCCCTCCTGTACGCGGTGAGCGGCGAGCGGCGAGCGGGGGGGAGCAAGGTGGGCGGCGAGGGGCGAGCGGGGGGGAGCAAGGTGAGCGGCGAGGAGGGGGGGGGGGGGGGAAGGTGCGCCTCTCGTGTGCAATGTAAGCACCCTAGCCTTGGGAACCTCGGCGCAGGCGGCTTGCCGTAGGCGGCTGTACGGGCCAGCGGGACGAAGCTGCCAAGGTAGCATCAACGCCCTCCCTCTCTCCCTCGCCTTCCGCTTCCTCTCCTCGCTTTCTGCCTCTTCCTCACAACCCCTTGTCCCCCCAACCCTCCTCCCCCGCCCACCCTCCCTTTCCCCGACCTCTTCCGCCCCCGCTCCCCCCGCCCAGCAATGGAAGCGCGCTTACCGCCTGGGCGCGTCGCTCGTCGATCTGCCCGCCGCCCTCTCGCTGCCCGCGGGCGTGCCCCCCGCCCCGCACCTGGAGGACTGCAGCGCGCGCACCGCCGCACGACAGGCGCTGGAGAGGCGCGGGCGCAAGGGGGAGTCGCCCGCATGGGCTATAGGGCGGCTGCCGCAACCCCCGTGGGTGAGAGGGGTGGGAGAGTGGGTGAGAGAAGGGTGAGACAGAGGGGGGAGAGAGGGGTGAGGCACGAGCGGGGTGTGAGGTGGGAGAGGGGTGGGAGATAGGTGTGAGAGGGGCGGTAGAGGGGTGGGAGAGAGGTGGGAGAGGGGTGGGAGAGGGTTGAGTGGGATGAGAGTGGCAAGGGCTTTCAAGCAAGGCTTTAGCACAGCCACCAGCCTCCCTGCCTATCTGCTCTCGGCTGTCCTCCACGTCTCCCCGTCTCCCCGTCTCCCCGTCTCCCCGTCTTCCTCCCCTCCCTCCCCGCATCCACCCACCCCCACTCCCCCCTCCTCCCCCCTCCCCGCCACCCCTTTCCCTCCCACGTGCGCGGGTTGGAGGCAGTCAGCCTGGGGGCCTTTGCTGATTCCCTACACACACTTCCCCCCCCCACTCCCCTCTCGGTTTCCAGGTACGCGGGTCGGAGGCGGGCAGTCTGGGCGGCACGCGGGCGGCACAGAGGGACCTGTGGGAGCACCAGTTCCCGCCGCACCGCTGCCGGGGGCGCCGCCTGCTGCTCGTGCAGTGGCTGGACATGACGTGGCACGGGCTGGGCTCGCAGCTCCACGTCATCAGTGAGCACCCCTGCCTGCGCTCGCTCCTCCTCCCCCCTCCTCCCCCCCTCCTTGCTCCTCCTCACTCGCATCTCCTCCTCTCCTCGTCTCTTCTCATCGCATCTCCTTTCTCGCTTACCAGCTCGAGCTTTGCAGTGCCGTGCTGCATGCCGCTCCTCGCTCCTCCCTCTCCCACTGCCTTCTTTCTCCACCTTTTCTTCATCCTCTTCGTCTCACCTCTCGCTTCTTCCTACCCCTCTCTGTTCTCGTGCCCCTCCCCTCGCCTCCCCTCCCCTCGCCTCCCCTCGCCCCCCCTCGCCTCTGCTCGCCTCCCTCGCTCCCCTCGCCTCCCCTCGCCTCCCCTCGCCTTCCCTCGCCTCCCCTCGCCCCCCTCTTCTTCCCTCGCCTCCCCTCGCCCCCCTCGCCTCCCGTCGCCTCCCGTCGCCTCCCGTCGCCTCCCCTCGCCCCCCCTCGCCCCCCCTCGCCTCCCCTCGCCCCCCTCGCCTCCCCTCGCCTCCCCTCGCCTCCCTTCGCCTCCCCTTGCCGCCCACAGGTTCCATTCTGAGCGTGGCGATGCTCTTCAACCGCACGCTCGTCATCGTTCCGGGGACCTTCCCGCAGGCAAACCACCGCGAGTGCAAGTCAGGGGGCAAGCATGCATCGCTCGACTGCTACTTCTTCCCCATCGCCTCCATCCACTGCCAGCGCATTGCCATGAACGCTTATAACGAGTACAAGGAGCTGCGGGGGCTGGTGGGGCGCATGCCGATGGAGCGGGCGGAGTTTGAGGCGGGGCGGTCGCCGTGGGGCACGTGGGTGCAGCAGCAGCAGAGGCGCGTCAACGCCACCCGCGCCAGGGCTGCTGGTGAGGGGGGCGCTGGTGGCGAGGGGGGGTTAGCGGATGCTGTGATCCCACAGAGCGGTGGGCACAGGCGTATCGACCAGGAGGCAATTGAAGGGCAGGGGGAGGCGGGGAGCGAGGCGGAGCGCGGGGCGGTGCAGTGGTGCGGGTACGAGGCGGGGGTGACCCTGGAGTCGGACGCGCTGGTGGTGTTCGGGTGCAGCCCGCTGCTGCCGCGCTGGGCGGGCGGCAAGTACCTCAAGCACCTCCGAGGCGCCGCCGCACGGTGAGCACACGACGGAGGATGGGTGCGCGTGCCTGGGGGTGCTTGCCTTGTGCTGGGCAGTGCTGTCCGCACGTCGCCTGCCAGCCATCACCGCCATGCTTGCAGCTGTGTGTGCACGCCTTCCACCGCCAAGCCCCTGCTTCCTTGTCAACCCTGTGCACCATTTCTTCTTCTTTTCTCTTCTCTCTCCTTGTGCTGCCTCCGTTGTCTCCCTTTTCCCCCGCCCCTTTTTTCCCCCTTCTCCCTCTCTATGCTGCCCCTCTTTCCCCCTCCGTGCCTCTCTCTCCCCCTCTCCCCCTGGCGTGCCCATCTCTCCCCCCATGGCGGCAGGCTGTGGGGCGGGGCGTACAGGGAGCGCACGGTGACCAACGAGGTGAGTGGCCAGCTGGTGAGCAGCAGCGCGCTGGTGAGGGTGCAGTGGTGGCGCGCGCAGTCGCTGCGCTTCATGCTGCGCTGGCCCACGCGCTACCTCTGCCACATCATCAACCGCGAGCGCCACCAGGTGTACGGCAGGCAGGTGGCGCACAGCATGGCGGCAGCCATGGCGCAGCAGCAGCAGGTGGTGAGCCGGGCGGCGCATCTGGCTGCCAGTCTGGGCCAGGACCTGCAGGCCCTCCTCGTGCCACAGGCGCACGGCAAATGGGTGGGCGGCGACGGCCACGCCTCTAGCATGCAGCTGCTGATGGCGGTTGGAGGTAGGGGGAGCCCAGGTGATGCGCTGCAAGGAGGATCGCAAGTAGGCTCATCGCACGGCCCTGGTGCTGTTGCTGGTGGTGGAGGTGGAGGGGGCGAGGGTGGGGTGGGCGGCGAGGTGTACATGCCGCGGCCCATTGTGAGTGTGCACGTGCGGCAGGGCGACAAGGCGTTTGAGATGCGCGTCTTCTCCTTCCCCGCCTTCCTCTTCATGGCCAACCGCATCAGACGCCTCGACCCCGCGCTGCACAACGTGTGGCTCAGCACCGAGATGCAGGTGAGATCTGAGGCAGGTGGGACCGATGTAGGTGAGCAAAGAGATGGAGGTGGGGGGCACAGCACGGAGATGGGGGGGGGCACAGCACGGAGATGCGGGGGGGCACAGCACGGAGATGCGGGGGGGCAGGCTATGAATTCCACCGTGTCCCGGTGCATGTGTGTCAAACCACAGCGGCTGCCTTCGCTGTGCTTGCTAACTGCAGCTCTTGATTTGCAGTTTTCCAAATGAGGCACCTGCCGTGTGTCGCAGACATCAGCCCTGCTATTCCCCCTTTCCTCCTCTTGTGACTCCTCTGCACTCTGCCGCCCGTGCAGAGCGTGGTGAGGCGCTCGTCGCGCTTTGGCAACTGGAACTTCTTCTACTCCAAGCTGCCGCGCCAGGAGGGCAAGGAGACCATGTCAAACTACCTCTGGCACACCGGCATGGCTCGCGTGGTGGGGGCCAGCTTTGCCAACCTGCTGCTTTCCTCGGAGTGTGATTACTTTGTGGGAGTCCTGGCTTCAAACTGGAACCGGCTTATCAACGAGCTCAGATTAACCAATGGGAGGTTGTTTGCAAGCTATATCTCATTGAATAATGATGAATGGTAGGTGTAGCCATTTTTGTCTCGTTTCAGGGCCCAAAATTGGTTTTAGGCCACACTTAGGAATCAGGGTACAAAAAACTTGTTGGAAATACCCCGAGGACTTGAGCGTTTCTGAAGTGTAACACTACACTCGAGGAAAGTCTTATCGAGTACGCGAGTCAAAGAAGGTTACACGAGGAGGTTGGACGAAAGAATACGAAAGGACAAAGGGACTTGAAGGGTCGCAGTTGGAGGTTGCTATCAGAATTGAGAAGTGTTAATCATAGGGTGAGAGTACACACAAATATACCTAAGTCTTGTACTCTCTAAGAGGAGACCCTATACAGTCTATACAAACATGATATACAGATATGTTTGACACACCCCCTAGACTGCATAGGGGAATGCTCTAAACAAGCAGCTCAGGGCGGCACTACTAGTCCAACCTCTGAGACAAGGGTCTGAGAGACCAGTCAGAAGGAGTACAGACAAGGCAAGAACAAGAGCAGGGCGGCACTACTAGTCCAGCCACTGGGAGAGGACACAAGTCCAGTCTGAGTATACATATAAGGACAGTACAAAGTCAGGATCCTAGCAAGTGAGAGGCTACAGGAACTAGACCAAGCTGTACACAGTGCCGCTGATGATCTTTAGGCGCAAGCGCCTTCGTAAAGATATCAGCCGTGTTGGCACCTGAGGCCAAGTGTACTACACGAGCCTGACGTCGCTGCTGTAGCTCGCGCAGGAGGAAGTACCGCAGCTGAATGTGCTTCGCTCTACCCTCGAGTCGAGGCTCCTGACACAGGAGGATCATGGCCCTGTTGTCAGCGAACAGGACCGGGGCAGAGCTAGGCCGCTCACCTAAGTCAGTGAGCAAGAAGGTCAGCCAGCGGAGCTCCTGTGCCGCCATGGCACCAGCGTAGATCTCGGCCTCACAGCTGGACTGCGCTACAGACGAGGAGCGAGTACCACGAGACGGCAGCTGAGCCAAGGCTGAAGCAGTAGCCCTGGGTAGACCTGAGTGTCTCGGCGTCGTCTGCCCACGAGGCATCTGTGTGTCCTGTGAGGACCACTGGGCTGCGTCCTCCTAGCACTAACCCCATGCCTGATGTACTAGCAAGATAACGCAGAACCCTCTTAGCGGCAGACCAGTGCTGCGGTCGGTGTCTGCCTGTGGCCACAAAACGAGCCAGGATGCTGAGAGGGTACGCGAGATCTGGGCGAGTGCAAGTCATCAGGTACATGAGGCAACCCACCAGCTCTGCGTAGGGGCCACTGGGCTCACCAACTCCTCAGACACTGGAGCGGAGAGTCTGTGGTCTACAGGCAGAGGGGTGGGCTGTGCAGAGGAGAACTGAAGGCCGAACCTCTGAAGGACCTGGCGCACCAAGTGTGACTGAGTCAGGGTGATGGTGCGCGATGCTCTGTCCCTGGAGATCTGCAAACCCAGGTAGCGGCGCAGTTCTCCAAGGTCAGTGCACGTGTGTCTCTTCAGCAGCTCTGACTTCACGGAGGCTAGTGCGTCCTGTCTGCTGTGGCAAAGACAGGTCGTCGACGTAAAAAGGATGTAGAACGGAGTCTGGCCAGCACGAACGAAGAGTGAGGGGTCTGCGGAAGACGGAAAGAACTGCAGGTCAGCAAGCGTAGCACGGAGAGTATCGTGCCACTCACCGGGGAGCCTGGCGCAGGCCGTAGACGGGGCGCCGTAGGAGCCACTGGGTCCCAGGAGGGAAGGTGCCAGTAAAGCCATGAGGGCGACGCAAGTAGACCTGCTCGTGTAGGCTGCCCTGAAGGAAGGCAGTGGAGAAGTCGAGGGAGTGAAGCTCGTAGTCACGCTGAGCAGCTATGTGTAACAGAACCCGAAGAGTAGTCATCTTCAGGGTCGGAGCGAAGGTCTGGAAGAAGTCCACCCCCTCACGCTGACTGAAGCCTCTAGCCACGTAGCGCGCCTTGAAACACAGGCGGCTCTCCAGGAGGGCGCTTCACCTTGAAGAGCCAGCGGCCATCGACTACGTTCACCCCAGGTGGGGGAACTGCGTCGACAAAGGTGCCGGTGGATCTCCAAGATGCCATCTCCTGCTCCATGGCAGCTATCCACTGTGAGGCCCAGGGTCCCGAAGTCGCCTCAGCGTAAGTGCGAGGGGTCAGGATGTCGAAGGCGTCTGGGTCACCCTCAGGGACTAGCAGCATGGAACAGAGATGGGGAGCAGCCTCGGACAGGAAGAAAGCTCGAACTGGCGGTCCTCCAGGACGTCACTGCCAAGGGCAGGAGCACCCCCGACAGACGGAGGACAGGCATGGTCAGAGGACTAGAGCTGTGGCGTAGTCAAGGCGGCGGGTAGAGGCGAAGTCAGCGACCGCAGCGACAAGAGCGTCAAGGCACGAGACCGGAACAGACGGGTCGGTAACAAGAGAGGCAAGGACCCGAGGAACAAGAGGACGAGCGGCACGAAGGTAGTCAGACAGCGGGGGGGTGCAACAACAAGGGAGGACGGAGGAGGCGACGGCAGAAGGGGAGGACGAGACGCGTGGGAACGAAGCAACATAGGGTGGGAGCGCAAGACAGGCGAGGCAGGACGGGCACGAGAGGGACGGTGAGACCAGACGTGGGACGGAGGAGTCGGGTCAGGAGCCAGGGGAGGTGACACGGGAGGGGAACGAGGGGGGAGACAGGCCGGGGACGAGTCCGGTGGAGGGAAAACAGGGCCGTAGACAGGAAGAGGAGGAGACAGGCGGGGAGGAACGGACGCAGGGTCAGGGGACGGAAGGCCGAGCAGGCGAAGGGCGGACACCGGCGGGGACGGCTGCCGCGGCGGCACAACGGCGACACCGGGACCGCAAGCTGCTCCTCGGCTACCACCGGCACTCTCCACACCAGTACCCCCAGAGGGGCCACCCCCAGGGCGACCGGGACGAGCACCCCAGAGTCAGCAAACGGGGGCTGCGACGGCGGCGGCGGCGGCGGCGACGGCGGCGGCGGCGGCAGCGACAACGACGGCTGCAGCGGCGGCAGAGGCGGTGGAGGAGGGGACTGGGGAGGAGACCACCAGGGGAGGGGCGGCCGGCGAGGACTGCACAGGAGGGCCACCAGAGTCAGAAGACTCCTCAACCGGGTCCACCGACGGAAGGGGGTGACGTGGGACACACCAGAGGGGGCAGGACGGGGAGGAGGAGGGGGAGGGGCAGGGACTACCGTGGAAGGAGTGACCAGGAACAGGGGGGGAGTAACCGGGGGACCGCGGTGGGGGAAAGCGACGGAAGTAGGAGACGGACTCGTCAAAGGTGACGTCACGAGAGTGAAAGAAGCGGTGAGACGGCGGGTGGTAAAAGTGCCAGTCGGACGCGTCAAGGGGAAAACCGAGGAAGACGCAGGGAAGGGTGCGGGCAGTGAGCTTGTCCGTGCCGGAGGCACGGACGTGAGCAAGGCATCCCCAGACGTGGAACGCAGACGCGTCACCAGGGGACCCAGTCCAAAGACGGGTCGGCGAAACCTGCGGCTGCTGAGGGTGCGGCCACAAGTTAAGCTGGTGAGAAGCGTAGCGCACAGCGAACGGCCACAGAAAATGGGGTGCACCGGCATGGATCATGGAGGTGCGAGCCACCTCCATGACCAAACCGATGCGTCACTCAGCGACCCCATTCTGCTGTGGGGAGTCCGGTAGGGTAAACGTCTGGGTGATGCCCTCCGCACGACAAAAGCGACCAAGGACACCTGAGGCAAACTCGCCACCACGGTCGGAGTGAGACGCAGGACAGGGAGACCGCGGTGGACAAGGGCAGAGACAAGCCAGGGGATGAGAGCGCCAGGCACGTCGGCCTTGCGCTCCAGGGGAAAGACCGTGGTGTAACGAGTGAAGTCGTCGACAAGCACAAGGAAGTAGCGCTCGCGACGCGGCCCAGGGACGGGGGCGGGGCCCCAGACGTCCAGGTGCAGGGTCTGCAGCGGCGCGGCGGTAGGGGGAAACGAGGAGGAGTGCGGGGCACGGCGAAGCCGACCCTCGACACAAGGCGTGCAGGGTGGGGCCGGGGAGGAGGGAAACGCGGGGAGGGAACCTGGGAGACCAAGGACAAGACCGTGCTGGGACATGTGACGCAGACGGGGGAGCGCAGGGTGACCGAGGTGGTGGTGCGAAAGAAGAGTCGGGTGAGTGAGGGACCGACAGGAGCAGGCAGCAGCAACCTGAGGAGACGCAGCCACCTGGGGAGTCGCCCCAGCCGGGGGGGTCACAGTGTCCAGAGTGAACAGGCCGGACACCGGGTCCCGGGGGAACGTGGACAGGGGGGCACCAGTGGCGGCCTCGGTACAGACAGCATACCGCTCGTGACCAGGGAACGTAGTGGTGACGCCAAGGTCCTGGAGGCAGTCGACACCAACTAGGTTCCTGGAGAACGAGGGGATATGCAGACCTGTGAGAGTGCCCGAGGGAACCGCCGGACAGGGAAGAGTGGTGGAACTGCGGGCGACTACCGGACCGCCGGAGGGGTCAGCGAGAGAGACGGCAGCTGGGACAGGAAGCGGCGTCAGGGTGGTGGAGTCGCGGAAGAAACACCAAGAAGCGCCCGAGTCCCAAGGTGAAAGAAAGCGAAGCAGAGGCGTCTGGCACCGGAACGACGGCGGAAGCACCAAGACTACACAAAGCAGGGGATCCTACGCCTGACGCAGCAGGGGAGTCTAAGCGAGGCACACCTACACTAGGCAACAGGGAGTAATAAGCAGGTCGCACACTAGAGTCAGCAGCATACATCACATGCAGAGCAGAAACAATGGCATCCATGTCCATATCAAAAATCTGAATCTGACGACTAAGCAAGCTGTGCCAGTCCGGGAGGTCTGGCAACGGGCCAAAGTGCTGACGAAAGAGGTCGTCCAGGCGACGAAAACAGCGGGGAGGGGAGTGACCGAGCCTACCGCAAACGAAGCCGCGGTGAGGACCGGTCTGGATCTGGTACTGACAACGCCCACCGCCAGAGCCACCACTCGGCACACCACCACGCGCCCGGCCGCCGCCAGCGCCGGGCCACCGGGGCGGGAGGACACTCGCCTGTCGAGTCTGCGACGACTGTTGCGACTGCTGCGGCTGCTGCGAAGGCTGCGACTGCGGCGGCTGCTGCGGCTGCTGCAACTGCAAGGGCGGCGGCGCAGCTGGAC